AATGGGTTTGTCATACATATTATTAAAAGCTCCAACTCTTTTTTTTGTTTTTATTAGTGTTTTACGTATATTTTGTTTCTTTTGATTCCAATAATCTATTTCTTCTATTTTTATTTATTGAGAATAAGGAAGGAATTCTTTTGACTAGTTAAAAAATCTTAAAAATCTTATCCTTTGATTAATCCTATCCTTTTACTTGAGAAGGTTGAAGTGGTAAACCAACGTGGGGTTACATGTCCTTAAATACTAGATCTTTTGACATTTGGGACATCATAACATATCTCTCTCACTTCAGATTTCACAGTCACATCTCGACCCAAATCATGGAAGCTTCTGCAACAACACCTAAGCTCCTTGTTTCCGACCTCGCATCCACCGTTGATCACGTCCCTTCAAACTATGTCCGACCAATCTCTGACCGTCCAAACTTCTCCGACGTTGTAACTTCCGGCGATTCTATCCCTCTAATCGATCTCGGAGAGCTCCATGGACCCAATCGAGCCGACATTATCAATCAGTTTGCTCATGCATGCTCTTCTTATGGCTTCTTCCAGGTAACTAACTCCATTATTATTTCACTTTCGTATTTACTCTGTTTTCAAGCAAATTACCTCTCTTTTATTGCAATACACTCTTTTCAAAACCAGCCCTGAAGTTTACTCTGTTTTATTGCAATATACACTCTTGTTTCCTCTGTTTTTGTTACAAGAAACACTGTGCATTCTAACTCTGTTTTGTCTCGATCAAAATGTGAACTATTTGATGTTCCAGATCAAGAACCATGGAGTACCAGAGAAAACGATCGAAAGAATGATGAATGTGGCAAGAGAGTTTTTCCGTCAGCCAGAAAGCGAAAGAGTGAAGCATTACTCTGCGGATACAAAGAAGACAACGAGGCTGTCCACAAGTTTCAATGTCGGAACAGAGAAAGTCTCTAACTGGAGAGACTTCCTTCGACTCCATTGTTTACCTATCGAAGATTTCATCAACGAATGGCCCTCAAGTCCTGTCTCTTTCAGAGAAGTCACAGCTGAATACGCCAAGAGCGTTAGAGCCTTGGTCCTGATACTTCTTGAGGCAATCTCAGAGAGCTTAGGCCTTGCGAAAGACCGTGTAAGCAATACATTGGGAAAGCATGGTCAACACATGGCTTTAAACTACTATCCGCCGTGTCCTCAACCCGATCTAACTTTAGGGCTTCCCGGACATAAAGATCCAAACGTGATCACTGTTCTTCTTCAAGACGAAGTCTCTGGTCTACAGGTCTTTAAAGATGGTAAATGGATCGCTGTTCATCCGGTTCCCAACACTTTCATTGTCAACATCGGCGACCAAATGCAGGTAACTAGGAACAAAACAAATCGGAAAATTCCTCTGTTTTTTGCACTAAATTTATGTGGTTGTTGTGTCTCCTCTCAGGTTATAAGCAATGACAAATACAAGAGTGTTCTACACAGAGCTGTTGTGAATAGCGGCAAGGAGCGGATATCGATACCGACATTTTACTGTCCTTCTGAAGATGCTGTGATTGGTCCACCGCAAGAGCTGATCAATGAGGAAGAAGGTTCTCCTGCTGTTTACAAAAGCTTTACATATGCTGAGTATTATGAAAAGTTTTGGGACAAAGGACTTGCGACTGAGACCTCTCTTGACTTGTTCAAAGCTTCTACAACCTAAGACTTGTCTACTTCAGAGAATCAATCAGTCGTGACTAGCTAGTTATTGACCGAAATCTAAATACCCTTTAGTGTTGTTGCCATTTCAATATCTGTGTCTTTCTTTAGATTTTTATTGAATGTTAACATCAAATAAAACAAAATGTGCTTGCAACACACTGCATTCGACTATTCACAATGTCACCTCAATCCTCTAAGCCATATTTTATCATTTGGAAAACTGAGAAATTCCATTCCATCCACGCAGAAAGTTTATATTATAGACATTAAAACAAACACAAATACAAAACCAAAGATTTAACAAATGTAACTTAATAACCTTGTCCCATTTGATAATTGGATTGGAATGATTTGTCTATCGCAAAGCTTCAATGCTTTCTTTCGATAAGTCTTACTAGTTAACAAATTATTTTGATTATTATATATATTTATTTTGAATTAACTTGCAGACTACCTCATTTAACTCACAATTCAAATTATTTGGGTACAAATTGATAAGTATAAGTTCATATGATAATGGCCTCGGTTGACCCAAAGAAAAGAGTTCATATGATAAATGGCCTCAAGTTAACTAATTTATTAAATACTCTTAACTCATAATCAACTCAACAGAATTGAGTTCTTCTGAACCATAAACTTTTTAACCAAAGTAAAGGGCTTATAAAGAGTAAAGTCAATGCTATTGATACTCGAGCTTGTAACTGGACCGGTCGCAATTGAAAGCATTACAATTGGACATTGAACATGGTAGAGACTAGAGAGTCTACTAAACCATATATATTGTTGTAGTTCCTTGCGAAAGAATAAACTGAAAAAGCTATATAAAAATATAATAACATCATGAATCATGTGAATGTAAGGTATAAATTCAGAGGCATTAGGTGCTTGAACAAGCAACCTAGGTCTTTGTATATCATTAAAAGTGTACAATTTTCCTTTTTTTAGTGGACTTTTGTGCAACTCAGAGTCGAACTATGATATTTTAAAGGAACGAGAAAAAAAGTCGTCGAAAATATATATTTTACAACCTCTCAACAAAAAAGGGTTATGTATAAATATTTTACATTATCGTTGTTGCACATCAGTGCTTGCTGATGCTTTCTTTTGGACTGGATCTAGAGTTAAACAATAGTATTATTGTTCGTCATATGATATATCAAACGTTCCAATTCATTATACATAGTACTCTTTTGCCGTTAACTAAAAAGATAAGACTTTTTTCTTTTCAAAATGATGAAACTTCTTCTGGATTTATTTTCACATATCATTTCAATAACTAACCATTTGCTGGTTTCTAACAGTTTCGAAATGAAAAACGGAAAAAAACTAATTAATGGAACGTTCGCTTTATCATTCTTCTCTTTTTCTCAAAAATTGAAACTGTAAGTAACTGTATATTCTATAAAATATGTGTAAACAAAACTGAATTGACATTTAGTTTAAAATGAAGAGAATACGTGGCACGCACGCAAGAAAATAAATCTATGAAAAAACAAAATCGTAGTCATGTTTTTATTATACTTTAAAGAATGCGATACTTGCACCACCATACCTCATTACAAATCATAATACTGTTATAATTGAGCTTAACCAAGGATAATGTCAGCTAATGACATCACCCTTTGATTCTCCCAAAGACGATGATGATGTTTCTACACAATAACCACACTACACAACATATTACACTTGTGACTTGTGTATATTATATATAGCCACCTCTTATCACTTTAGACTTTTCATCTATCGTCATTACCAAAAGCACTTATTACCTAACAATCATGGCGGCTTCTGCAACATCTAAGCTTCTTCTGTCTGATTTCGCCTCCACCGTTAGTCATGTCCCTTCAAACTACGTCCGACCCATCTCCGACCGTCCAAACTTGTCCGAGGTTGAGACTTCCGGCGATTCTATCCCTCTGATCGATCTTTGTGACCTCAACGGACCTAATCGAGTTGAGATTCTTCATCAACTTGCCTATGCATGTTCCACCTATGGCTTCTTCCAGGTAACTCCACGATCGATATTGCTCTGTTTCAAATTCACTATTTTTAC